TTTGCTTGTCAATGCCATCAGAGTACACCAATGAGGTCTGTTAAAAATTAAAAGAAAACCACTTTAGGACACGCAAATATAGAGTAAGATTCATTCCACCTATTTTGGTCCTCCAAGCTTGTCTTGTTTGGCTTGTCTTGATTGTTAATTAATAATTAATTATTATAATTAAAATCGAATACATCTGAGACGTTTTTTTTTATGAGAAAACGAGGCAAACGGTTCACATGATGATGACGTGATTACCGCAATCCATACACCACACTCATCAGGTGAAATGCAAATGTATTAGTACTTCTACTGCAGTCTGGTCTAATAGATTATGGTACTTACCTGAAATCACCGGACCTTTTATATAGCAGGAGAAGTGGCTTGCTCTTTAAGTTTATCGATGTTCACGGTTAGTTATGGACAAACATTTACAGTGGCCACGCAACACTGTTGCACGTATGGGTAGGTCCGTCCGGGTAAGTACCACGACCTCACAGAATACCGGCGTAAAGTAGAAGTGTTCACTTCTGCGTTTCGTCTGGTGAGTGAGGTAGCCGAGATCCAATTTATTTAAAGGTGGCAATGTATTTGCAACCCTACGGGTGTTGCAAATGTTCATTGGTGGTGGTTATCACTTAACATCAGGTGAACCGCCAGTTCGTTTGCCACTTTCTCAGATTAAAAAAAAAATTATCGCCAGCCGTGTCCCTGGCCGTGCCGTGGGATTCCCACCCCCCGTTCAAACGAGAGCTGCTGGGGCGCCGTGGTGCCCAAATTAGAAAGGGATGAGGAGGTACGGATGGAGCCGTGGCGGCTTCCTGACCTTCGACCGCCACTCCACTATTTGCATAACAGGGGTAAGCAGAACACAAACTTGCTCATTTACATGTTTTTTAATAAGGCAACACATTTTTATCAGGTGCTCTATGAAAAGTTAATCTATCCGTGTAAGTTAATCTTCCTGTCATTTGTTCATCGGCAGAATCAAAATACGTTTCAGTCAGTGAAGAAAAAATAAGTAATGATACTCTCATTTAGTCCGAAAGTGACGTATAACCTGACGCACGAAACTGGTGGCGCTGGTACAAAAAGCGCGCCTACCTACTCCGCCTCTTTTGTACCGGTGACCGACTCCCTCGACCCCGCTGTCCAGAGGTCAAAGAAGCCAAGAAAACGTCTGCTAACAAGCATCTCGGTTTCGAGCGGTGGACCTGGTCTGTGGCTGACCTGCACATCGCAATACCAACACTCCTCCCCCCCGCGGCCCCATGACCGCAGCATCAGCGGTGCCACCCCACCGAGTCGCGAAAGATAGGGAGATTGGCCAAACGCAATACCGACACTGTTCTTCCGCGACTCTATTTCGATTGCAGGGGACAGGGAGAGTTGCTCTACCTTTACCACTATCTACCTGTCTCCGCGCCTCCATTGCACGCATCTAAAGCGGGATCAATGATGGGCTCATCTCGGAGCGGCTCTTTCGAGCTGGTCCAGTGTCGGTTCCTTCTGTCGGTTCTGACTTCGCTCTGTGTGACCACAAAGACACGGTTATGACGCCCCTCCGCCAGGACAAAGCAAAAAGGGAAGGGTTCTACCACAACCTTAACACAACCACTTTGTGGAATCATCGTCGCCGGTATTTCCGATCCGATACAAGTTAAAGATATTAAATGGGTGGCAACGCATTTTTAACTCCTCAGGCGTTGCAAGCCTTGTTGTGAAACATCCATGAGCGGCTATGACCACAGTTTGCCTTATTTTCTTTAAAAAAAAATGGGTACCAAACAAGGCATCGTGAGATTGATAGCTTTGCTTTAATTATGTTATCTATGTTAATATATAACGCTTCTCTGAACACTTAACGCTATTTGGAGATTAAGTACTTTGTGAAATTGCTACTAATCTGTCGCAATGGTTCAGAACATTATACAGTGTACCTAAGTAACACTTGTAAACAATTATCAAATTATCTTTCTATTAGATGCTTTGTTTATATTTGAGAAAACGAAACAAAAAAATAAATAATATTGTAAATTAATACTACACTTTAACTAATAAACAGAACTACGTACATATTGACAACAGGACTTATACAAAGCCGAAAGTTAGGATTTATTCAGGACACTCAGAATCCATGTCTACTTTATTGCTTTGTAAGCCGCCGATCCACAATCAACTCTATTTTGCTATAACTTGAATCTTTTTTCATCAAGTATATTGACTCAACAAAATAAGATCACAGTAATCGTGTGGATTCAAATCGTACTTACGACTACAGTTTTAAACCTGGTCGGTAATTGGCTTATTTTTTTATGAGAAAAGTTGAAACGAGCAGGCGGTTCACCTGATATTAAATTTCTGACATCCACAACACCCGATGGCTTGCGAATTGCGTGGACAACCTTTAAAGAACTAAAAGTAAAAGTAAGCTTAAAGGCCTCGCCTACCACCTTCTCACATAAAAAAACGTGAAACTTTTCAATTGTGATATGCTTTTGTTATGGAAGCTTAGAAGTCATGGGAGAAAGAGCGTTAGTGATTTGTACAATGGCGCGAAATAAGGCAATACCTAAGCCGCAGTCCCGAATGTATGTAACTTCGCCAATACCTATAAATTTTAATAATTAAATGACTCGGACGAACTCGGACGCGCCTTACATTTGTAAATTTGTATGTTATACAAATCAAAGTAATATAGACATAATAAATACAATACACCAAGCTAAAATACAGTTTATTCACAGATGGTGACAGTTGCGCAGCCTGTGTTGCCCCGCTACCCCTACTCCCGCAAGCTCCCGCACCGCATTAGCCATCTGTGGTCGCGGCCAACTCACTCGAATTTCGATCATCAAGCAATAACTCACACTATGAAGCGGTAGATGGCGCACTTTTATAGGATTACACTAGTCAATGTCGCCAGTACTGAAATATAGAACATAAAATAATCCATATGTTAGAATAGCCGAAATTAAAACATTAACTTAAATTCTGTATTTACTTATTCTTAATCTGTTTTTTTTTATTTGAACTTATTTCACATATCTTGATAGTAACTTTTGATTGTTAAGTCTCTTTGAATTGGTTGATTATTTGAAGCAAATATTACGATTTTAATATTTGCTTCATATTTACCTACATTTATATTATGCAGTGTAGAATATAAGAAGTATGATTCCAATATATAAGAAAGTGTTAATGAAGTAAAGTATAAGTATAATAAGATGGCGTTACTGTTCCATAAGTTCTACAATTCAAAGAAACGCTAACGGCAAAAACTGTAAGAACATTCATGATTCATTACATTACGCTATCAATTGACGGCACAGATTTAATTTTTTTTTTTTTTATTTTATAAATTTTTGTAGCCAACTTTTTATTCAAAATACATATGAGATACTATTCCTTGTCTCTACAGTCCATAATTAATATAAACCGAAGGCTAGTGCATTCTATATGAATATATGTATTAGCAAATGTAAGGGCAGCCCGAAATAAGTAAAACGGTTTAAACATGTTTAAAAAGTTTATTAAATAAACGCCAAAACCTCAATATATATGAAACATTTTTCGGTAAACATTGAATTGAAAATAGTCACCAGCAAACGTAGGAATTACTGCCTGCAATGTTTAATAAAAAATGACGTAGAAAGTTAATTAGCACTATTATCAGCAATGTAACGAAATGAATTCAATTCGTCGTTATTTTTAAATTTATCTTTGTAAATTATTTGATATATGATGTAGTATAGTTGCCCGTACGTTTGTTCTAGTCATCCGTAATGATTTTAGCGGTAAGGTACTGTAAATTAGTATAAATTAACAAAATACTTATGATATCTGTATATAGTACTGTAAAATTGTCATTAAATAATAACATTGTACGATTATAATTTCACTACTTTAGGATAAAAGCTATAACCTTATAATGTAATACATATCAGAATTTCTTAGTCATAGCTCTAGTCAACACATTTTATGTAATTATAGTTGTATATGTAGTTGCATTAAATAGTGAAGAAAAGGAAAAAATAGAACATCGTATTTTTTAAAAATTGCCCTTACTTTAGGATACAATTTTTCTTAAAACGTAGAAAAAAAAAACAATAGATGCGCCAAAGCATTGCTTCAAATGCTAAATAACAATGTAGAAAGAAGGCGTTAAGATTTTCGTCTCTGTGGTTATCAGCCGTTTAGCTCAGTGGCTAGAGCGTCAGGCCGCGAATGCCGAAGACGTGGGTTCGATTCCCACAGCGGCGACAATCTTTTCGTACTTTTTCTACATGTTTTAATGTTCAATCTTAAGTGCAGAGATTAGCAAATTTACAATTATACTGTGTTGTAAGAACGTTTTAGAAACATAAATTTCACGTGGAAAAACACCCAAATGTGAAACAACTCCCTGTGGGTGACACAAATTGTTGTCCCGTGTGGGAATCGAATCCACGACCGACGCCGAAGCCAATACCTTGGCAATTATGCCACGGAGTCATATTTAATCGCCTATTTACCATTAATCATCCTACTGAGCCCGATTATCGTGTATTTTAACCTTTAAATATAACTTAATATAATCATTAATCTTAATGTTTCAAAATAAAATACATAAATCACGATATTATTATAACAAATTAACCCTGATCCCCAATTCCTCAATAAATTCCTACTAAATTAAGTCAAGGGAAATGTGAGTTGGTGGCACACTAGGAGACAATTATTTTTATTAATTTCTTCCTTTTAAATATCATCCCCAAACCCTCAATATCGAATATATAATTCGATATAGTGAATATACAGTGAGTATATAGTTCATATCTTTTCAGTTATCTGTATATAATAGGACACTACTAATGAAAATTTAATCATTTTAGGGAAGCAAACGAAAAGAAACAATTGCACCATTTAATTACCTTATATTAACATATCAGAAACGTAACAGAAAACTGTTTGAATTTTGTCGTCGTTTAATTTTGTCGTTGGATGGAGCGAGACGGAGACAGGATTTACTATCCCTTTCTGTTAGGCATGTAGCCGCCGCTGCCTTTGGCTTCCCGACGATTCCTTGCGTTTTCAACGTAACCCTTCATGCCTGGCGGCAAGTCGAACGGTGGCACTTGGGGCGGTGATGGCAATTGTCTGGCCAGCTAAGAATTATAGAGGTCTATTTAGAAAAAAATATCACAAGGTTATTCGTAAACAAATTATCTAGTCTATCGCTTGGAGAAACAAAGAAACTACACCTCTCGAAGAACCAATTTTTTCGAATCTCGAAGAACCAACCCAGTGATCGCATAACGAGTCTACAGTACCTGTGCAGATTTGATACCACTTTGCAAATGCAACGTTTTGCATTTGCAAAGTGGTTTGCGTTAATACCACTTTGCAACTACTGCAATGCGGAGGATTTTATTTTGCTCTATCTACAGTTTCTTCGAGTCTGTTTGAAGAACATGCACGAAAGACATTGAAGCGAGGACATTGTCGGTCGTTAACAAGCCTTGTATAACAGGAGTTTACGGCCTAAAGGATTTTTCTTGTAAAGGATTAATTTTGTTTGAAGTAGATCTGTTCCTAACGTTTTCGATATGAGTACAGAGAAAATTACCCCAAGATTTCTTGTCCCATGGGATCGGTTGGCCGAGCTTGAACTGACCAAGATTCTTGGTACCGACTGGTCAGTGGAGGTTAGGCTTGGCTGTTGCGTTCGCTCAATCGAGTTGACTCGACGTTATTTTCGGGAATAATGTGATCGACATTTGTGAAACCAGTCGCATAGGCGATTGGCGGCGCTTTGGAGACGAATAGTCATTCGGCTCAAGTGTTTGTCCGAATAGAAAAGGGAGTGTCGTCAGCAAAATCGTCGTTGTGGATCTTCAGGGAAGTCACTTGTGTAAAGCGAATAACGGAAAGTAGAGAGCCTTGAGGGACGCTCGCAGTGAAGCGGGGACTCGTGGAAGTAGTATCTTTACTCGCTATATAAAATAGTGATTCAACAGGAAGGGTCGAATGGTGTGCACGAGCTTATCTGGCATGTTTAATGCAAACAGGCTGTAGCGCAAGTTGTTATGCCAGACCTTGTTAAATGTCTTTGTAACATCGATGAAACGCGCATTCGTACTTATGTATGCATTCTGTAACAGAAGTCTTTCGAGATATACTATATCAGGCGAAATTTGTGTTCGGGACAAAAGGGATTCGTTTGAAATGTATATAGAAGGTAGGTAAGACATCAGCGCTGCCAATGAACATTGGTAATTGTAAAGGCCTTTCCGAATATTAAAATCAGAATGAGCTTTTCTTGTTGAAAGCACCAATAATATCGGTCATGATGTACTGTTAGCAAGAAGAGATACCACACAGTGTTCGTGCGTTGCGGAAAACAAGATCGAATCGACAGTAAAGTCAGAAAAAACTTTTTGATATAAAAAAATAAAACTAAAATTGCGCGGTTTTAAAATGGTGTGAGTCGCTGAGTCGATGAGCTTGACTTTACTTTACTGACACCGTGGTTGGTATTTACCCGGATTAACTGGCTTGTTATGACAAAAGCATAAGCTGCGTTGCTCGAACAGTGTTAACACAAACATCACGTTAGGACCAATATATCAAGTCCGATACATACGCGTTTCAAAGGCTGCAAATTGGATGTGATTCTGTTATCAGCATGCTCGGGGACAGGTGTGGCCTGAATGCCTCCGAAAAACACGGTGAAACAGAAAATCAGCACCAGCAGATGTATGAAGCCTTTCATTGTGCACGCCCTCTGCTCCTTTGTGCGGAACTAATGTCGAACGACCGTTTATAAATGGTGGATCACGTGCGAGCACTCTCATCGAGGTCCTAAACACAATATAACTTCCTGTGCCGTTACGTGTGAGATTGCAAGATAAAAAACGCAACGGACGACGATAAAATTAATTAACAAGCCACAGTTACATGTCAATTGCACATTAATTTCATTTAATTCAGTTTCGCTCGTTGTTCCACGCGAAGACTTCTAAAGTCACTCGATTTAAATCATCTAACGACGCCAATCTCGATTAGTTATGATAAAGGAAATGATCATAATATTATTTAATTGAACTGAGACTTGGTGAGCAATGTTAATTGACTAGTGTATATCTATCTGATAGTTATTGTTGGCTCCGAAGTTTTAGATTGAAAAAGATTTCGAGATACGTCAAATAGCTTGGACTATTTGACGTATCTCGAAATCCCAGGGCCGCCAAACGTTATTTATTTTTTGAGCAACAAAATGTATCGTACAGATTACTATCAGTGTTCTGATAGTATACTACCAGTTAGCTTGGGCTTGCGGTAAATTTACTGGTATCAACTGTTAAAGGTACTTTAAATTTTAAGTACCTTTAACAGTAACTTTTCTTAAAGTCTGAGTGCTGATAAATATAGGTATTAATTATCAATATTGCCAGAGAGGTCCCATCGGCGTTAATTTCCGCCAGGTGCTTCGCGAAACAATAACGTAAAGGGGTTGTCTAGTTTTTGTCCAACAAGGACATAACGCTGAGGAAAAATTAATTATATTAATATTGACGGAAGCGAATCTATTCGACCGGCCTCCAATTGCACACAGAAGAGAAGCTGAAGAAATATTATCAGATAATGATATAGAGTCATCTTAATGGTGTCACCAAGAAGGATAGTTACCAATTGCCAAGAATAATAAATACCATGTGCGCTGTGGCGGATCTAGAAGCGCATTTTTGGATGACTGAAGGGGATGAGTTCGACCGAGCAGCAGGATTTATAATAAAATCAAAACCAATGATTTATCTAACTGGATTTACTATTATTTTCATGTGACACCGCACTCCGAGTTGATTGTACCTGCCCGAAGCTCTCTTCTCGCAGCAGCCATTAAGTTGGGTCGATGTATACCGCTGTTGCATAGCCCTACCATAGCATGACAGGTAGCGGAATTTAAAACGAATCTTCCCCTGGAGAATTCTGAGCGTCCGCACTCATCTGGACATCTATCAGCTTTCTGTAAATGGTCTTCATCAGACGCTATAAGCATACAATCAACAAGCTCTGCAGGTTTCCGCCGTGTAGGGCCTAAAGGAATGGGTATTTCTTTGCATCTGATCCCTACGGGCTGGATTGCTTCTTATTAGATGATATGTTACTTCAGGAAATGGAGTATTTTATTCCATTCGCTACCGTCCCCATTGGAAGAAGATTCCAGCCCAGGTTCGGTCGCTCCTGCAAAGTGAAAACTCGCCTTGAGCGGGAGAGTTTTTCTGCCGTCATTGTCTAAGGATTAATGAATAAGAGTTATTTTTAAAAGAAGTAAAAAGAAGAACAATTTTGCACATTGGCAAATTTGGCGAGGGACAAGTTTGCCTCCCTTTGAGAACTGGTGCATTCCGGTCTATAGCCAAGGCTGTTCGAGGGAATTTCTGTATGCCACCTTTTTCATCTCGGAACAGGAGTAATAGTGTAATGAGTCATAAGCTTGTCCGCTAAAGAGAATGTACAATTTTTGGAGACTCTTGGAGTGCGTAAATCGCTTTCTTCTTTTGACATTCAAAAGTCGAACGAAAATTTCGTTCGTATTTTATTTACATTGTGTTTTTGTAATTTAAGCAATCTATTGTTGTTTCTTATATAGTGCATAAACAGTTTCAAATATTGTTTTAAAACGATAATTCGAAATAAAGATGTCGCCATTGCTATTTGAAATTTAAATTAAATTAATTAAAAGAGACGTGGGTTCGATTCCCGCAGCGACGATAAACTTTTACTTGACTTGCTACCGATGTTACGTTGTATCAGCGTCAGCCCTGTAGTCACGGGCTCATAGAATAGGACTAAGATATCTTTTGAAAATTTTCTCCCCCAATCACAAAAAAAAGGTGGTATCAGCTTAACATCGACCTGCGAAAACACTTTAAAAGAGTTATACAAACGGTTCATCGAAAGAGAAGTGCCGAAAACTATTCGAATTCTCTGATGGTGAATGCGACAAATTACCTACCCGATATAAACGATTATAATGTCGAAGAATACATTGAGGACAAGGATGTTTGGAAATGTCTCTTGTTCTGCACATTAAAGTCCAGGGGACTTGAACGTACAGGGCTACTGCTGATTTTATACTTAAATTAGCTCGTATAATTGTACCACCGTACAATAGTAAACTGCAGAGTTTCTTACCGCTTCTCTGTTCAGTTCTTGTTTTTTTCTTAAGTTTATTAAGAGCTTAGATTAAGCCTACCTATATTCAATAAAAAATTGACTTTGAGACACGACCATTTACAAACGTCGCTCGCGCCACGTTCTCATTGACCTGGATGAGGAAGGGATATAGATAGATATGTTGGACCACCCGGTAGTCACGCGAGAAATATATATACCTACCCGTAGTGATAACACACATAACCTATTTGTTCATTCTAGAGTTGTATTGATTTCCCCTAGAAGCACAGCGAAACCAATACAACTCGACACAAAGTACACCCGTTTTCCAGGGCGGTTCACACCACCCCTAGCCAATACAGTTAATAATCGTCAAGGTCACGAATGTCTCGATGGCCCGAAGGTGACATCTCACGTTTAAGATAACGGACGTATGTGCACATGCGGCGCCTTACCCCACGCAGAAGGTACGGTACGATCAAACTAATTATATCTGGCTATCTTACCAATTCTGCGTTCGATGAAGCTTAATTAGTTTATGGACTGAAAACAAAAACATCAGATAAAGATAAGTAAGTATACTTAACATGATGTGTATGCTGATCGAAAAGTTGGGAATCAAAATTGTATTATTTGTATTAAGATAAAAGTTGATGTAAAATTAATGTTATAACTTGCATTATTTTGAAATGTTCTCAATTAATGATGGTTTGTTATGACGCAATATGATTAAAGTAGTAAATTAGATACGCTTTGTTTAAATATAAAATTAAAACCCAAAAGCTCCAATAAAATTTCTTCTCAAATTTCGGGATAGCTATATTTTATTTTAAATCATTGTCACACAAAAAAGTTAATTTAACAATGATGCCATCTAGTGCCCGTAGCCGTACAACTTAACGATACAGTTACATTCATTACGTAATTGTTAAACTATTTGGTACTTATTGTATAATAATGTAATAGATGGCACTTAATATAAAAAAAACAAATTGATTATTACATAATTTTATATTTATTAGGAAGTACTACAGTAAAAATTAGATTTTCACATTGCAGACAGTATGTTAAAAAAACTTAGTGTCAATCAGGAGTGAAAAAATAACTTTTAGAGAGACAATTCAAAATGTAATCTTCTCTATCGTATTATTTTGATTACAGAATTGTTTTCTTTTATTTTCTATATTCCGTGATTTTAACATCCCTTTACTATATTATTATATTGACTCTAAATAACTACGACTTTCAACTGTACTTACTATTTGAGAATAATAAAACCATGTTAAGAAAAATTTAAAATAAATACTTGAAGTTTATTTATTCTACTTATGTAATAGTTATGATGAATTCAATATTAAAATAATATTTTATTGGTAGTAGTTTACAGTAAAAGCTTATTTTAATATTTAAGCTTTTACATAATAAAAAAATTGTAATAATATATACTTACTAAGAACAACAAATTTAACAAACATCGTATAGTCAAAGTACAAAGGTAAAGTAACACTTTATAAAAATATATATGTATAGAATCGCGTTCATTTGGGAACTAATGAATCGTTTAAAAAGGATCTACCTTTTATACGATTTTATTACCTATTTGCACATTTTTTTTGGTGCTGAAAACAAAATTTCCATAACGAATGTAAAGCTTGCTTGCGTTAAGTTTTTTTGAAGGATAAATCCCTACATAGCCCTAGAAAACTTCAGAACTTAGGTTGTGCCATTATATTAATTCTTATCACTTATTAACAATGAATTATCGACGAAGTCTAAACTATTGGTTTTATTAAGAGCCTAAATGTCAAAATACCCCATTAAACCCGCTTAATTTCATTTCCCAATAAACCCCCAATCAAATGAGATTCACTGCAGTTTGGCCAATTTCCCAAAAATAAGTAAGTTTTTAAGTGGAAAAATCGCCCGCTCATATTATCAAATAGTCATCTCTAGTTTCTTCTGTTTCGAGATTAAAGGTGTAAAATTCTTTCACGGTGAATAGACATAATACAATCAAGCAAGTTTAGCCGAATGGATATCATGAGTTCCTTTTATGGTATATAGTCTGCTATTAGGACATCATGTTTTCAATGAAATTATCTTTTAACAATCCTTGTTTAATTGTTTAGATCACTTAGATCACACGTAAAAGTTATGTTCTCTCCTAATGCCGAATTTAATGTATTAGTATTAGCGAAAGGTTGCCTACAACCACTGCTCAATTCTCAGCGGCTGAGAATTGAGCAGTGCCTACACACCTACACATTTGATTTGTGACACGCTGTTATTGCTAATTTATCTGTTTTATTTTGCTATACATATTAATATAAAACATCCAGTTTTCCAGCCAATGAACAAGTAAATGCAAGCGGACAATAAAGATTTAGTATTCCATATTTAACATCACGCTTTATCGAATTTGTAGGGTAATTCTGGAAGTTGAAGTGGAAACACTGTATTCTACCCGCGAACTGCAATTCAAAATTCAAAAGTTGACACAGAAGTTTGATGTTTCTTAATCGCAGTCTGCTGAAATACGGATATTTAAATTTTTCATTAATTATGAAAGCGTTTACTACACCAGTGGTGGCCGCCGCAGCGGGCATAATATTAAAGCCATCAAAGAGAACTGGTCGTGGGGTACCTCAAATAACTAATGCATACGCTGAGAAATGTTCTTGTCGTAGAGGAAAAACCATGGTATTTTGTCGTGCTTGTGGTTATTATTGCCATGGCCGTGTTCGCTTAAGATGCGAGCAACATCCAAGAGTAAGTTAGCCATTTTGCCTGTTGGGATTTTCTTTGAATTTAAAAATGAGTAATCAAATTATTATTCTTCATATAATGTCGTTCGCAACAGCTATATGTATAACGTCTCTTCTAGAAAATATTCCTAGTTTAATTTTTGTTACAGCTCACGTTTTTATTTGATATAACAGAATGCCCTCGATGCCATTCATCAGTATTCCTGGACGAAATATCCACTTCACAGTAGTGTCCAAGTTCTCAGTACTTATTTATTATATTTTTATTAACCATATATACATAAGAAAACTTTACCTCAGTGTTATTGTTAAAACTTCCATTTATTAATCATCTAATAGGTGCTGCAACAATCTTTAATTTGTAAAGAATTAAAAGCATTGATTGCACAAAATGTTACACCCATATATAATATCATGAGGTACAGAAAACAAGCTAACTGTAACATTATAAATTTTTCTAAAACACAAGTTTTTATAGAAAAACTTCGTTTTAAAAAAAAACTTAAAATGTTCAGTGATATTTGTAGTTTGATTTTTGTTACACATTAATAACATTAGTTATAAGGTAAAAAAAAAGGCAACTGCATTATCATTATAATATACTTTTCTAAAACAGAGTTATTGTAGAAGAGAAATTTATTATTATGTTCATTGATAGTTGTCATTTTCACTTTTTACCATTTTCTGTATAATACAAGCCTGGTGCATATAATTTTCTAGTTGACTAAATGTAAGAACTATTTTGATTGTTGAAGTAATAAAAATTGTTTTTTTGTTTTCTACTATTATCAGGTGTATCATTTTATATTAGTCCTGAATTTTTGATCATTATCATAATGACCACATTTTATGTTACTAATCATGTGATTGCAGCAAAATGATATTTGACAGAAATTTAAATATTAAAACAAACCCCATAATTCAATTACAACTGTTTCATGTCAAGAATTTACATTATACATCCTGCCTCTGGTTGAACAACAAAGTATGTTTTATGACACAGTCTTAAAAATGATTGTTGGTAAGCGCATAATTCAAGAATGGCTGGACCAATTCAAGCAATTTATTTTTTGTATCTTCCTTAAGGTCCACGGGAGGTGTATCTTCCTTAAGGTCCACGGGAGGTTTTAATACTATAAAAAAGAAGTAAGTCTGTCTGGGCAGCTAGTATATAATTGAATCAGTGTCATTGTATATTTTGCATTTTATCTAATAAATTCAAGTTATGTACATATTTGATGGTTCACATGTTTTTGAATGTTTTGTTTAATACCACAATTTAATTTAAACAACCAGACTGGTGGTAGAACTTAAACAGTATGGATCATATAAATTAAAGTACTTAACTTAATTAAACATTTTATTAAACTAATGATTTCTCTATTATAAGTATGTTATAATTTCTAAGGAACATATAATTATATTAAAGTAAACAAAATTTAAATAGAAAACCAGCTTGGGACATCTGTTCTGTCTTTATTTTTTTCCAAATAATTACTAAAACTTTTCTTGGCTTCGTCTAATGATTTCATATTGTCTTCATCTTCACTCTTACCATCAAATAAGTCAGGAAACTTGAATGTCATTTCCTTAGGCTGTAATAGGAATTTTTAAACATAAATACATCCATTAATTACACATTAACAGGATGGTAATGTAAATTCATCAATGTATATTACAGATAATGATAATAATCAATAATGATAATAATAAATATAATATAGATAGGAAAAAGTTACATTTCATAAAGATTACCTTCTTTTTTTGTAAACTTTAGCTAAGATAGAAGTCAAGATAAGCCTCAACATCCGTAGGCATACCTTTACAGGTAAGGATAATATATAGATTATGTATCTATCGAATCGGATTTAGTGTAATGGAGTAAATCTTGGGCAAACAATGTGAAATATACTTGCAATTGATTTTGCTAAATATAGTAACATATCTTCATGAGAATTAAGCTTCTGTATGTGTCCACAAAATTCAAAAAGTAGCCAATGGATTGACTTTTTATCTGTTCACAACATAGCTATTGAACAGAAGTGTTTTTATATACTTTTCATTCTGAAGTTCCAATGGGAACCAAAAAAATAAAAGTGAAGCATGGCCAGTTCAGCTAGTTAAAGGTAAGGCATATGTATGTCTCACTGCTGGGCCAAGGCCTCCTTTGTCCCATACAAATGTGGCCTTGAGCACACATGAGAATATGAGTACATAATTCACCACAAAACCTCACTGCAGAATGGCAGACTATAATATCTCCGAAATATTTTTTTTTAGTGATTGTTTCGAAAATATGCTGGCCTCATATTTTTCTTAACCTCTATGCATGGGATATGTCAACACTAAAATTGCAATTAAAAACTGAATTCCAGTTACATATATATACTGTGTTGAATAGCTTTTATCCACCTAGACACTAGCATTTATTTTAAATCTCACATTAGGAAAAGGGATTTCCACATTAACTCACTATGTGAAAAAATACATCCAAATTGGAAATATCTAATGTATTGAAGAAGTTTAACCCCTTATTAGGAATACATTTAAGTAAACTGAAGAATAAAGTACTGGCCAAGATATTGATAGCATACAAGGAAATCATATCAATCAAGAATATATGATTTGTGCATATGTATCACATGGTCTGTATTCACAGTGGTAGGGCCACGCAGCAGCCTCGGCTGTTGTATGAATGGGCAGGCTCTTCCGGGTAGGTACCACAACCACACAGACGATGAGCGTAAAGTGGAAGAATAATACTTTCGCGTTTCGTCTGGTGAGTGAGGTAGCCGGAGCCCAATTTTCAACAGTTTCTCAATGCATCTGGAACTCTCGGATGTAGCAGATATCCATGGGCGATGGTATTCACTTAACATCAGGTGAACCGTCTGCTTGCTTGGCAACTTTTCACATAAAAAAAATGTGCATTTCATAATTTTTGCCCTAATTTTTGGTATTTTATATGTCTCTTGCACTGTAAAATACTGTATCATGCATATGATTTACATTTTAATGATATTTAAAAAAGAAAACTTATACTTACTAAAACCACATAAGCAAATTTAACATCATCATCTTTTACAATATAACCTTTGCCAACATCTTTCCGAAATCTGCCAAGTCTAATTTTGGTTCTTACATCCACAACCGGAACATTGTATATCTTTTCTAAATAATTTCTAATATCATATTTGGTCATTTCCATTGAACATTTAAAATTAACAACATTAGGTAACTGAGTTGAAGGAGGGCGCACCAATTTCATCCAAAAATTAGGTAAAAAAACTCGAAGTTGTGGATTTCCTCTTTGGTAAATTGGGTACCTAAAAGATCATGTAAGAAAAATATGACTATTACAATAACATTAACATATTAAGTGTTATACTTACCAACGCGTAGACATTTTAGAAAAAAAAATATTGTATTTCAATATTTACTTTATTATTACTAATAATATTGTGTAATTAATTCAGTCTTACAATATAACCTAGATAAAACAGAATAACCAAGGAAAGCAAAGCAAAATTTGGTTTGATTGATATTATTGATAAATCAACACTTTGAAATTTAATAGCGAATGTTGCCATTGCCAGTGCAGTGTCGCCAAAAACGCAATCCACTTTTTTTTGTTGATGGCTGCTTTTCCAGCTAAGTCGGAAGTCCACACGTAGATGGCCTACGAAATCAGAACAATTTAGCTAGTGCCAAAAAGGCGACAAGGTTACAAGGTTCGCTCTGCTCTATATTTCCGACTACTGTAAAACAAAACGGCTTGACTGACTAATAGCGGCCTTGAAACGATTCAAGGGTCTCTAGTAGAATCCACCATGAGATATTACTAAAGTCGAAATTGCGATTTAATCACGTACAAGACATCTACGTCAATCTATCAAAACGAAAATTAAACTACAATAGAATACGAAAACCATTAGTTTACGAGTTTTAAATTATTTACGAAACACATAATTTATGAAAATAATGAAATCACCCAAACGTTAATCTTCGAAAGTTATTTTTGTAATTTCTATTACGATAATTAAATAATTTGTTGACTGACCCTACTTATGTAAAGTACTTTATTAGTATAATGTAAAAATTGCAAAGTATGTATCTATGATGACCGCTGCAAAAGAAGTCATACCAGCCTTGGTGATACTAGTGCATCTTCAAAGTGATACTAGTGCATCGATTTGTTGATGCACTAGTATCACCAAGGCTGGATTGAGGAGAAGGTAACTGGAGTAACAACCCCGGGGCCTCACAAACGAGGGGCTCCCACAATGGAGACTTCGGAAAAAATTAAAATTCAGACTAGTAAAGTAAAAAACTTTTCCTTTCATATTTTTTTTCGCGTCATACATTTACCTAAAGTACTTTGTACAAACATGATCACATTAAATATTAACAGAAATCAATAGAAAATAATTTGGGGCCAAGGGGCCTCCACTTCTTTGTTGCCCCGAGGCCTCCAAACCCCTAAATCCGGCCCGAGAATCACGTAATATAAAAATATGAAGCTTTGCCCATCAGTATTGGGAGATTTAAAATGTTAAACTAACATGATACCCTAACCAAGAAATCTGTTTTGAAACAATGGAAGTGCTATCAACGTAATGGATACTCCATTAATGAATTGCAGCTAAATATGGCATTTAGTTTATTGCAATGATTATTAGTCGTTAGATGTATTACAAGTTGGAAATTTAAAATACTTTTTAAAAGTAATGAGCAGTAAATTGTACAGTCTCATCATCTTTATGTTGGTCTATGTTTTGGATACTACTTAAAATTTGTTATTGGCAACAACAATATCATAAACGTCAGTTTAGTCGTAAAGATGGCGGTGGCCCTGTCACCCGATCAAGAGTTGGTGAGTTAAAATAATTAAATATTTTCGTAATACAACTGTATATGCTCTTAATATTAATGTCACTACGTGAATAACTATAAAAGATCCTTACTAAATCTTTGGAGTATTCTTATTGAACTTTTTAATGAAATTATGTTGTCGTTTACCATGTCACCAATGTTTGTTTTGGTTTCGAATTTGATGTCTGTTTTGTGAAATTTGAGTTGTTTATGTGATTCCTTAACATCTAACTCATATAAAGTCATTCCTAACGTACAGTTTAGGAATTTTTGGAGGCATGACTTCCGTTTTTATACTTCTTGATTAATTTTTTTCTTCAGATTTAACACAGAAATATCGTTAAGAAGTTCCCTTATTCTAATAGAGTTCTATGAGGTCTTTCCCTATAGTTTTTGTTAACTTCCGTTTGCGTTTTAGGTCGATCAGGAACTGGAAAATTGTTATTTATCATTAATACTAATATACTATTAATAGTATCGTTTATGTTTGCAAAATACATGCAATTAAAGTTAAATACTTTTAATATTTCGTATATTAATATACTTATTTATCAATTTTTAATGTTCTCGTAGTTTTTGCATTTGTCATAACATTAGAAATCCATTCAAAACATTTTTGTTAATAAGTGTGTTAACCGAGTAGTTAAGTAATATCACAAAGTATTTTAAGACTATTTTTTTATGATTAAATAATTATAAAGTGTCAGATCACTTCAGAGACTGAATGAGTTTTACATCTGGGCCCTTTAGTTATAAATGTTATTATGAAAAATATAACAACATATACATACGTTATATTTTGGCTCGTAATCTTTACAATGATAGTGTAACAAAAAATAAGTAGGCATTGTTACACTATAAATAAATCCAATATGCAATAATTGTGTACATAAATTTGTGTGTACACTTCTATCATTAATGTTACTAATCTATGCTTTAGGAAACCTATTAATATTAATTTAATTTTGTTAAAAAAACTTAATTCATTAAAACTCTGGGTTCTGTGTGAATAGACTACCAAGGTGTTCAGATAAACAGTATAGTTAAAAACACTTTCTTTGTATACTCTGGAATGTTTGTTGTAATGTTAATTGCTTTGCTAAGTGTGATAGTTCCGAAATAGCAGCAAATATCGATTATACGGTCGACCGTCGGTCGTGACATCCGCTTCTCGATACTTCGGCGCATCTCCATTAATTTCTGTTTTGAAAAAACGTATATATTGAAAAAAAAAAGTGTTACTGGCTTCATGTAGTTACTGTTTCTCGTAAGTACTTTGTTCACAGACAAGTGATCATTTTATACATGGCTAAGAATGATGTCTGAAGTTACTGGTATTGTTTCGCGCGGTCTTTTACGAAGTTGTGAATTTCTACGCAACGAAATGAGTTCGGCGTCATAAACGAGCGTATAACCCAATCGAATTTCGTATTTGGCTCGGATCCGTTTTGCTGTCCACTGTCGAGGCCCGAAGGGAAAGAAAACGTTAAAAGCAAATTTTCCAATTTACGTGAATCGGACATCAGTATCAGTGGACTAAATACTGAATATCTACTGCGAAGAACGAACAACGAGGTGTCGCACATCGTTACATCATAGCAGAGGATCCTTTCTTGTTTCGTGGTCTTTATCTTTTTGTTTAAGGGATTACTGATATTTATCGGCAGACACGATGAGAGGACTCAGGGGATGTTGATGTTGTGTCGTTTTTCGTTTTCCATAGTAGACCCGCCGTTTCCAGTACGGCGTTTGTTTACGTACTGCTAGAGTATATTTAGCACCACGTATAGGCGCTTGTTGTCCCACACCGGTTCGGCGGCCGTTGCGGTAACTTCCGTCAGCGACGTTTATTAATAAATCTCGGGGCAGTCGATTTGCGCGTTGTAACGAGGCTTCGACTTGACGGAGGTGTATCTTGCAAATGTAAGCTGTTGCCTGCGCACCGACATACGTCGTGACAACCCTCAAAGAACGATTGCCTTCATGAACGTTGACGCAAATGGTATGAGCACAAGCCCTGACCATGTTCGTGAAGTATTTGAAATTTTAAGATTTATTTGACTGCGGTAGGGCTACGCAGCAGCCTCGTCTGTTGCACGAATGGGCAGGCTCGTGCGGGTAAGTACCACGACCTCACAGAAGACCGGCGTGAAGTGGAAGTAATACTTTCCCGTTTCGTCTGGTGAGTGAGGTAGCCCAATTTCCAAAAGGTTGTCAACGCATCTGCAATCCTCGAGTGTAGCATATGTCCGTGGGCGGCGTTATTCACTTAAAATCAGGTGAACCGTTTGCTCGCTTGGCAACTTTTCACATAAAAAAAATATCTAGCGAATTTGGTTAATTTTTTCATTCACAGCTTTCGAAATTTCGAATAAATTTTTTATTATGATATGAACTAAAAAAGAGTAAAATATGCACGACGATAATGCTATTATTTATTATAATGTACGTTTATTTCTAACTAGCGAACCGCCCCGGCTTCGCACGGTTACAACGTATTATACATATTAACCTTCCTCATGAATCACTCTATCTAGTAAAAAAAACGCATCAAGATCCGTTGCCTATTTTAAAAGATCTAAGCATACAAAGGGACAGACAAACAGCAGGACGACTTTATTTACTATGTAGTGATTATTACAAGAGTTACGCCTAATATAATTTTATAACAAAACAAAATAACAAGACAAAATAACAAGACTTGAAATTTGGCGCCATTTCTACAGAAACAGAAACGATGGTCGTACACACAACACAACAGATCACAACAGAACAGGTGTCGTTCTTAAATGCGAAAACTTTCTTTATCGTTTTACGGGTTTTATATGCAACAGCATTTAATTTGACACTGTCTATTTTTTATAGTGAAAGGCATTTTATCAGTCTTCCAAGGGTTTCACAAGAGTAGGTTTAGTTGCTGTAAACGTGTTGCAAGAAGAAATATTGTTGCCTTAATACATTTCACTACTGAAATATGCAATATGAATAAAAGAGTATCAATACAATAATAATTATACGATACAATAATTTTATAAAAATATTAGGTATTTATGCAACTGCGTATAATACGATGTACTTGTATATTTATAAGCATAAAAAGTTATGGTAATTAATTACATACCAGGTGAATTATATGCAGTTTACGGGTAAATACGACATCATACGAGCAACACAGTAAAAGCTTGACACATACGTCACATTAATTTTATTCAAATGGAATATTTCTTCAACAAATTGAATATTAAACTAATTCTAATGTAGCACAAAATTCGGTTTTCAATTAATTAGGGCTGCTTAACAATAATTGTGTGGACATTTTTAGTGCAGAAATGGTCATCGTCGTTATTGTTTTCTATTTTACCTTATTTTTCAACACACTGTATCATTGTAGGTTGAATAGGGTCGTATACCGTACAGACAAATGTTTTAAACTAATATACTAGATTATTATTGCGTGAGACTGGCAACGATGCCTCGTCGTCGGTCCACTTTAGCGTCGTGGAGTGCTCTCTTCCCTCTGCCCATTTACGTTCC